AAGAAGTACTCTCTCTCCTCTCTCTCTCTCTCTCTCTCTCTCTCTCTCTCTCAGTCTATATATATGTATTAATGTCTGTAAGCCTGTTTCAAGGTTTACTAGTGAAAATTAGGCCACTGAAATTGGGCTTTGAGGTTATGTAATTCTGTATGAGTAGAGAACTAGAGTTATGGAACTTTGGATGTTCAATCTTCATCTCTCTGATTGTCTCATAAGCAGCATCTTATGATGTTTCATGAAAATCATGGAAAATGATCAACTTGTAATCTTGGATCACTGATGGGTTGAAACCTCTTCTCCCTCGAATTCATATTTATGTTGCTCTCTCTCTGTCTCCAATTTCATTTTCACTACTTGTCTACCCTTATTAACAGGGCATCTGTATGAACTATGTTATCTATTTATTCTTTTCTTGTAATATTAGTTCTTGTGTCCTGATACAGTTTCTAATTTGAATAATTTAATTAGTGAATTGCAAGACGTGGGTTCCTTTCTTCTTCTAGATTTTTCTCCATGTTCCAAAAGTTTCAGACCATTTCTCAAAATTTACTGTTAAAAAAGGCTTACCAGCTAAAGCTTCTCCATGCTTTTGAGGTGTTCTTTTCCTTTAGTATTCGTCTCATAATTGAGCCTCTCCCACCTTTTCTTGTGTCATAAAAGATGGTTTCAAAAGGCTGATCTGGGTCTTTTTAGCCCCGTCATTCAGATTTTTTACTCACTGTTTGTTTATTCACTCAGCTTTACTCATATTGTTGTTTATTTATTCCATTTCATCTGACTGAGATTCATGTTCATATCTTGTTTTTCATTTGATCCTGGTAGTGAGATTTATCTTCTACCCGATATTCGGACCCTTTCCACCTTTTGACTGAGAAGTTTCAACATTTTTCTTGATGAGCATAATACCTTACAGGACAAGAAAGGAATAATTTGATAATGTATTTACTCCATTATTGCTCGAGGAATCCAGTGAAATGCTTCAAGGCAAAGATCTTCTTTTGTGGGGTCTGCTTCAGTTCACATATTCTTTGTAGTTTTAGGAATTCAGGCCTTTTTCCCCTTGTCTCTATTATTTACACATTGATTGCTTTATTTGAATTTTAAGCTTTTTGGCTTTTGGATGGCTGAGTATGAACCTCGAAACATTTGCTTTCTGAGAATGTGGATTCTGATGGTGCTTGGGACATGATTTTTAAGCAACTTTGGATCAATTGTGAGATACCCACCATGCATCAAAAGGCCAATTAAGAGATGATGCTCTTTTTGACCATCTCTCTCTCTCTCTCGCTCTCTCTCTCTCTCTCTGAGTAAAAATTCAGAGTGACAGATCTAGGATAAAGTAAGATGAATTTCCAAAAGGGTGGTTCTGCTCTTTTTGAATTCAAATCGTCAAGCTTGCTCTGGACCATACATTTGAGTTGAGGAAATCATAATTCGAATGTATTTCAAAATTGTATGGATCGTCCCTCGAACTCCCAATAGGATTCCTAGTGTACATGAACAGTGCTTACCTTTTAGGCCTCAAGGCCCTTGGAAGCTAGCTGATTGAATTCTAGTCATCCCCTAGAATCTCTCTCTCTCTCACAATTCCTAGTATCCTGAACAGTGGTGACCCATTAACAGTACAGGGGCCATGAGGCCCTTGGACTTGGAAAAGGTCTAGCTTATCCAAAATTCTCTCTCTCTCTCTCTTCCCAGTATCCTGAACAGTAGTGATCCATTAACAGTACAGGGGCCATGAGCCTCTTGGAGTTGGAAAAAGACTGGCTTACCCACAACCCCTCTGTGAATTCCTAGGATACATTAATAGTGTGATATATGAACATTCAAGCTTATCCACTAGAGTTTGCTCCTCACTCTAAGACAAAGTGATTTTTTTATTGATACTTCAGCTTCCTTATCTAAACTGGTTTGCAAAATATTTCAAAGGGGACCTAGTTTGGGACTTGAAGATAGGGTGAAAGCTGAGAAGCAATGAGATTTTAGATTGTTTTGAGGAAGAGAAGCCTGATATTTTGGGAATTATTTTGCTGTATAATGAGAATAATGATTATGTCATGTCTAGGTGGTGATATGGATGAAAAAAAAAGGTGGGTCATATGTACTTACGAAAGAGAGAGAGATATTATGTCTATGCTATGTGCTTCCTTGTCCTTGGTCCAATTTACTTTTGATGCCTTGGAAGGAAAATTTTATCATTTATCTTCTTGGATTCTCTTGGTTTCCTTCCTCCTAAACTTCACATTTTTCTTTTTAATATTTTCTTTATATTATACAGCCAAAAGAAATAATGTTACACAAAATGGAACTCCAATGCATGAAACTATAGATGTTGAGAGTTGAAAATCTCTCTCTCTCTCCCTGAGCACATGATAGAATTCCCTCACAAAAATTTTGGTAGTCAAAACTCTCAACCTTTCTCTTTCTCTTATAGTGTTCCTGGTTAGCTATTTAACTGATGAGGAATTTGGTTAAGTTAAAATTATCTGATGGTAGAATAAATTAGATTTTAGAAAAAAAAATTTTTTTTTATTATATTAAAAGATATTTAACAAAATTTCACTATTATTATCATTCAAACCTTATCTCAACTATTTGGGATTCGCTACACGAATCCTATTCTATCATTCTGCTTTATAACATAGGTTTAGGTTTCATGAAAGGATGTGGTAAAGTTTTACGTAAGCACCCCTATCCAATACAACCGTTCTCTTTCATCAAGGGTTGGGACCGGCATGACCAGGTTGGGACCCGCAACGGTGGGTTTGATATTAATAAAACTCATCGAACTTTACTTAGCCAGCCAAATTTGTCAAAACTAGCCAATCCGAACAACTAAAACTTGTTAAATATTAGTTTGAACTTATTTTCGATCAACCCCAATTTTTGTTTTGGACCAAACCGGCCGCTGCAGCCGGTTTAACTCTTTTCTCTCTAACAAATGCATCTCCTTCTCTTTCTCTCTCTATCTTTAAACAAATGTATGGCGTGGAAATCTCTTGGAAACAGGGCCTCCGAAGGCAGAGTCACGCGCCTCGAATCGTTGCCAGCTACGATGAACCAAATACTCTTTGAAATCCTAACACCACCATTATTTAAACTAAATACTTGCTGGACATATAGATTTAAATTTCGATTCTCCACAACTGTTTCTCTTCAAAATATATTTTATAACTTATAAATCTGAGGCCTATTGATATAAATGCTTGCTCAATATATTTATATTATATGCATATCTCCAACAAAAGAGGGTCGAGAAGACTTGAATTGTGACTGCATAATGTAGAGAGATGAAGTAGAATCTGTTTTTTTTCTATTGCACTGTTTTAGAGAGAGAAGAATATTAATACTTGTGCGTATTGTTTTCCTTATGACAGCATATGCTTTTTTTTTTTAGGGCTTTGGCTGATGATGTGCTCAGCAATGGAGGCAAGTTTCGAACAAAGATAATATATTCGTTGAGATGTGTAACATTGAACAGCACTGAGGTGTCCAGGATCACTCTCTCTCTCTCTCTGACCCCATAACGGATGTTTACTATTAGTCTCTTCCTCAAATGGTTAAGTGTATATATTTTATTATTTATGTTTTTTCTCTCCCTCCCTTCTTATTTATATATATATAGCGAGAAAAGCCCTTTACAATATTATTTTTATGCATAGATACATACATATGCGTACATAAAATATAAACATATTGAGTCAAGTTGATCTAGACCCGGACCGGATAAGTTCTAAGATAGATCTAGAGTCGGAAATGGCATGGCCTTTCTACGTGAGATGGATATGGATCCAATCCGCCATATTCAATTTTGGAGTCCAGAGATCAATGTTAGGAAACTGGCAAGGGCCCAGTCCAAGTAATCCCTAAACCCGGCTTAACCGGGCAGGTCTTGGCCGGTCCAAAAAGTATTAAAAACATAAAAAGAAATAAAAAATTCAAAAAAATATAAAAAATATATTTAAAGCATGATTAAATAAAGCACATCCAAATGAAATTGTGCCAAGGGTATTTTCAATTTTTTTAAAAAAATATAGAAAAATGTAAAAATAAGTAGTCATGGCTAAAACACTTTCCAATCTTTTCCAAAATGATAAAAAAATATTAAAAAACACATTAAAAACAAATCTCTTATTTTTTAGAGTTTTATGTATTGTTTTTTATTTTATTTTTTTAAAATACCCTGCCAGACGACCAAAATCGGATCAGCCAATGCTTGATTCCGATTTGACCTGCCACTTTGGAGTTGGACCGGCCGAGTTTGCAAAAAATGGTCCAGACCCAGACCTGGGGCGGGTCAATGAGTCCGAGTTGACTCGACCCCGATTCTCACCCATTTGTTCACCATGCTCTCTCTTCCCCAACAATAAATTACAAAATCTCTCTATAAAGGATCACACAGCTCTCTTCCTTACTCCCAAATAATCCATCACAAGATCTCTCCATCCGTTGTACTGTTCTTCCCAAATGATCTATAACGCAAGATCCTTATCTCTTGTGGATGAGGTAATCTCTATCTCTTATGGCTGAGGTAAGCTGGAGACTGTAGGGATAAATTAATTAAATTGGCTTTTTCTCACCGTGTATAAGAAGGTGGCTCATGTTAAAGCATGTGTAACTTAAAAAAAACTGGGTCTTTGTGTCAGCATGCGTGCCTGAGTGGGGCATCGTGGCAGAGCTAGAGAGAGAGAAGAGCTAGAGAGAGAGAGAGAGAAGGGGGTGAAACTTCCACAGCAGGTAGCAGAATCTGACACACATGAGACGGTTTGCCGGCGTTAACAAACTTTTTCATGTGCCCTTTTTACCACTTTTTTGTGGTTTCTGTACTTTATTTGGCTTATTTATCTCTATTTTATTTTTGGAGTACATATTAACCAAATGATTAGCTTGGTCTAAGCACGTTTATTGAGAAAGCATCCGCATTGAAGAACTAAAATGGAAATTCAGTCACATGCAAACCTCCATTCCCCATTCCCCATTCCTTTCTCTCTCTCTCTAATTTCGTTTTATTTTTAATGTTCTCTCTCCCTCTCTCTTATCTCTCTCTAAGATGGCAAGTGGAGACAATCAAAGTGTTCTTTGAGGAGGGAGCATGGGCGTGTGTGCGGTTCCAAGAGAGAGAGAGAGAGAGAGAGAGAGAGAGAGGAGGGAGGGTAGTAGTTTTAGTTTAGTAGTAGTGTGTCGACTAGTAAGTACTAGAGTAGTGTCGTAGTAGTTAGGAAGTATAGTCGTAGTAAGTAATAACGTAGTAAGTT